CCAAGAGGAAGCCAAGCCAAAAGGCGGGAGGATCGATCATTTAGGTATTTGACCAGGCAGATAGTCGACCAAATCCATCGCTCGACCAGATAAGCGATCGAGCATTCTGTTCGACCTTATCAGATCGATTTCTACGAGGACCTAACAGCCGGCCTAGTCACAGGCGCGTGTAGAAACCTCTAACCGAATCTCAGGAGAATATTTACCCCATGTGAAGGGGGACACGTGTCGAGAATACATTGGCGGATACCGATAACCACCTTCGACAGCTCCCCAATGCCCCCGCGTAACCTTTGACATGCGCGCGGTGTGTTAGAATACGGACGGGAAGCTTGGGCAGCCAGCTCATCTTATCCGAGCAGCTATTAGGGCAGGTATCTCACCCCTATATAAAGGGGGTGAGCCTTTCTCCCTTAACACATTCTATTCATTCTTCACTTCAGTATACTCATACACATACTGACTTAAGCATCAGAGGCTCTTCACCAGACACAACCGCCGGTGTGAGAGTTACTTGCAGGTTTCCGGTGTTCTACCGGTGAGGATAAAGATTGATCCATTCCAAACCGGACCAGGACGCTCACACTTGCAATATTGGCGCCGTCTGTGGGGACTTTCATTGAGAAGTTGTGTTTGAAGCTCAGCTATGGTGGACGGAATTCCCAAAAACTTGCAGTCAACGTTCGACGAAGCTTGGACGACGACCAGGCCATTGGGGCAAGGCCCTCCTCCGGGTTTTTCCGGTCCATCGCAGACACCGATCACTCTCACACCTGTCCTTCAGGGTGTGGGAGTGACGACGGCGATTCCCGGAGGAGATGCCGACTCTAATCAGGCCCAGGAGGATTGCGCAGCAGCTGCGGCGGTGATGCCACCGCCGCCGCCACCGAATCTGCCACTGGTGCAAGGAGGAGTGATGGCGCAGGGAGGAGCGCCACAACAGGCAGTTGTACAAGCTCCTGGTCAACAAATGGTGACGATGACCCGAGAGGAGATGCAGAGGATAGCGGCGGCCGTGGCGGCGCAGGCGGTGCAGCAAGTTACGAGCCACACATCTCATGCCACCACCGCGCCGACCACGATGGTCGGAAACCAAGATGAGGACGTGTCCAGTTATGGAGAGGGAGGAGTTGGAAGAGATCTGGCGATGGAGAGGATGGCGGAGCAGTTGCGCCAGTTACAGGACAAAGTGGAGGGGAGGCCGGAGAGGAGAGCTCGAGGACATTCCTTTTCGAGGGAGATTCTCGCTGCTCCTTTGCCGAATAATTTTAAGGAGACCAACTTGGTGTATGACGGGTCTTTTGATCCGTCGAGGCATGTGAGGACCTTTGAAAATATGGCTGTGTTACATGGATATTCTGATTCTGTTTGTTGCAGGGCGTTTCTATCGACCTTACACGGAGGAGCCCTTGACTGGTTTCACCAGTTGCCCTCTGGGTCGATTGCGGATTTTAAAGATTTTTCCAGCAAGCTTACCAATCAATATTCGAGCGCGGTGGTGCATGAGAAAACGTATTTGACGTTGATGGCAATGAGGCAGGGGGAGAAGGAGTCATTGAGGAAGTATGTTGCTCGATATAACCAGACGTGTTTGGAGGTGCATTCGGCTTCAGATGAGGTGAAGGCGTGAGGATTGATAAGAAGTCTTCGAGCAGGGCCTTGCCGAATGTCCCTGGCAAAGACCCCTGCTCGATCGTATGAGGAGGTCTTGAAGCGTTGCAGGAAGTATATTAATTTGGAGGAAATAGAGGTAGAGTTCGCAAAGTTGGAAGGGCTGGCTCGACCAGAGCCAAAGAAGGAGCAAACCCCACCAAGAGGGAGGTCGCTGAGGAGGAGTTTGCCCAAGAGAAGTGGGTCGAAAAAGACATCACCAAGGAGGGAAGGTCGGGATTCGAAGCGAGAGAAGAGGGACGATAGGTGGCAGGGAAGGCCATTGCTGTTCGAAAGACAGAGGTACCATAATTTTACACCCTTGAGGAAATACTTGACAGAGGTGCTCGAGGTTATGGAGCAGAAGATGTCGACCGAGGATGTGACGTGGCCGAAGACAAGGTTCATAGGCCCGAATCGACCTAGATCGGATATATATTGTCGATTTCACTGAGATTACGGCCATACCACGGAGAACTGCAGGCATTTGAAGGATGAGATTGAAAGGTTGATTCGAGCAGGACATTTGAAAGAGTTTGTGTATCATGATAGGGCGAGAGGGAAAGGAAGGAGAAGGTGTCGAGATGATTCGGAGGAAAGGAGTGATAAGGATGAAGAAGGAGATGGCGGAGAGAGCCGAGGTGGTCGAGGAAAAAAGCCGAGAAGAGATGGAGATAAAGGGGGCCAGGGAGGAGAGGCCCCGATAAAGAGAGGAACGATTTACATGATTTCCGGAGGGCCAACGGATGGTGACTCGAATAGGGCCAGGAAGGAGAATGCTCGAGCTGCAAAGAGAAAAAGAGAGGAGGTGGGGATTACGGCTCGTATGCCGGTGATAAGTTTCAAGGCGGAGGATGCCGAGAGAGTGGTCCTACCGCACAACGATGCTTTGGTGATAACCGCGGAGGTTGCAGTCTTTGACGTGAAGAGGGTGTTTATTGATACGGGGAGTTCGGTAGACATGATGTCCTACGACTGTTTTGTGCAAATTAACAAGGAGTTGAATATGGAGCTGAAGCCGGTGACCACGACACTTTATAGCTTCAATGGAAGAGAGGTGGTGCCGATGGGAGAGATAAGTTTGCCAGTGGAGCGGGAGAGCTGAGGAAGGTGTACATGGTGAGGTTTGTGGTCGTAGGAGCTGAATCATCTTATAACATCATTATGGGGTGGACGAGCTTGAATGCATTCCAGGCGGTCGTATCCACGTACCACATGACGATCAAGTATCCTGTGGGCGAAAACGTAGGGAAGATTGCCGGGGATCAACTCACTTCAAGGAGTTGCTATCAAACAACGGTGAGCAATAACAAGCAACTGGCAAAGAGGTAGGCCAAGTCGAAGGAAGAGAAGGTTAATTGACCAGGTGGGTCGAGGTCGAAAGAGGATAAACAGAGAATGGAAAAGGGTAAGGAGAAGATGGATATCCAGCCAGGGGGAGAAGTGGAGGAGATTCAGATGATCGAGGGGTGTGAGGAGAGGAAATTCAGAATTGGGAAGGACTTGGAGGAGCCCATTCGGTCGAGGTTGATCGATCTAGTTAGGGAGTTCGCTGACGTTTTTGCTTATACAGTGGAGGAGTTGACGGGGATAAGTGCGGAGGTGATCGAACATCGATTGAACATCGACCTCAGTGTGAGGCCGGTGAAACAGAAAAGAAGGCACCATGGGGCAGAGATGGACAAGATCATTGAGAGGGAGGTCGAGAAGCTATTGGGAGCGGGACATATCAAGGAGATCCAGTTCCCTGAGTGGTTGTCGAATACGGTAATGGTGTCGAAGGCGGAGGGAAAATGGAGGATGTGCATTGATTTCCGTGATCTGAACAAAGCATGCCCAAAGGACTTATACCCACTGCCCAAAATCGACCAGCTGGTCGACTCAGCGGCGGGGTGCGAGCTGCTGAGCCTGATGGATGCCTCTCAGGGATATCATCAAATTCCCTTGGCGAGAGAAGACAGGAAGTGGGTGAGTTTTGTAACGAGTCGGGGAACCTATTGTTACGTAGTGATGCCGTTCGGCCTGAAAAATGCTGGGGCCACGTATCAAAGGCTGGTCGATAAAATCTTTAAGGAGCAACTTGGGAGGAACATGGAGGTATATGTGGACGATATGTTGGTAAAAAGCAAGGAGGAGATGGATCATGTGCGGGACTTAAAGAAAACATTCATGACTTTGAGGAGGTACGGGATGAAGCTGAATCTGGCTAAATTCTCGCTCGGGGTGAAGTCAGGCAAATTCTTGGGTTACTTGGTGACCAAGAGGGGTATTGAAGTGAATCCTGAGAAGGTTCGAGCCGTGATGGAGATGAAGCCGCCGACGAATGTTAAAGAAGTGCAGATCTTAGCTGGTCGCATTGCGGGGCTGAGTCGTTTCATATCAAAGGTGGCAGAGAAAAGTGGCCCATTGTTCAAAACATTGAAGAAGAGTGCAAAATTTCATTGGACGGAGGAGGCGCAGAGGGCATTTGAGGAGTTGCGAGGGGTGTTAGCCAACCTTCCCTTACTGGCTAAACCTGTGCAGGGCGAGTTGTTGGTGCTATACATTTCTATTGGAGAGAGGGCTGTGAGTTTGGTGTTATTGCGGGAGGAAGGGGTAGCGCAATTTTCTATCTATTACGTGAGTAGGGTGATGCAGGGGGCAGAGATGAGGTATTCGGAGATCGAGAAGTGTGCTTTGGCCGTGGTCGTAACTGCTCGAAAGTTGAGACCTTATTTCTTGAATCATAAGGTGAAGGTGCGAACAAACATGCCGCTGGGAGAAACGCTTGGCCGACCATCGGTCTCTGGTCGATTGGTAAAATGAACGGTCGAGTTGAGTGAGTATTCTTTGTTGTATGAACCAAGGAGGGCCATAAAGGCGCAGGTGTTGGCCGATTTTATCTAGGAAGGCACGAAAGTTGAGGAGGAGTCAGGAGGAATATGGCAGTTGTTTGTGGACGGATCAGTGGCACGAAGCGGGGCAAGATTGGGAATTGTCCTGGTCTCTCTTAAGGGCGATTACTTAGAATTTGCAGCTAAAGTGGGGTTCAAGATATCCAACAACGAGGCCGAGTATGAGGCAGTGATCAAAGGCTTGAGTTTAGCCAAAGCAGGAGGAGCCCAAAAGTTGCAAGTGCATTCTGATTCTCAGCTGGTGGTCGGGCAGTTTCAAGAGGGGTTTGAAGTTAAGGAGGATCGGATGCAAAAGTATGTGGATGAGATGAGGGAGTTAAAAGAGGAGTTTGATTCATTCGAGCTGATACAAATCCCTCGAGGAGAAAATGGTCGGGCGGACCTGTTATTGAAAATTGCTTAAAGCTTGGTGGATTGTAAGAGCAGAAGTGTCATCTTATTGCATCTCGAAAGGAGTGTGGTCGAAGCGGAAGTGGAGGAAATTGAGGAGGTGGAGAATTGGAGGGCCCCGATCTTAGAGGAGTTGAAAGGGGGAACGATAAAGGCGATGAGGAGATTTTTTGAACATGGAGGCATTCTTTACAAACGGTCGTACGCGGGACCGCATCTGCGTTGTGTTACTAAGGAGAAAGGTCGATATGTGCTGAGAGAAATGCACGAGGGATGCTGCAGTGATCATTGTAAGTCAGAGGCCTTGGTTGCAAAGATTTTGAGGGCAGGATATTTCTGGCCGACGATGAGGGAGGATGCAAAGGTAATGGTGAAGAAATGCTTACAATGCCAAAAGCACGACCCCCTTATTCACCAACCGGCAGAAGCAATGATGACGATGGGTGCCTCTATACCATTCGCCCAGTGGGGTATCGACCTGGTGGGTCCGATGCCTCAGGGAACGGGGCAGAGGAAGTTCTTGATAGTGGCGGTTGAATATTTCACAAAGTGGGTGGAGGCCGAACCCTTGGCGAAGATTACGGAGGAGAAAGTAATTAAATTTTTATACAACAACATTTGCTGCCGGTTTGGCGTGCCCAAAGTGTTGATTTCCGACAATGGTACTCAGTTTAATGGCAAGCGGATTCGAGCATGGTGTGAAGATATGAAAATCGAGCAACACTTTGCCTCCGTTGCTCATCCGCAAGCCAATGGCCAGGTCGAGGTAACCAACCGAATTATACTGAATGGGCTGAAAACAAAGCTGGAAAAGGCCTCGGGAGCATGGGTCGATGAGTTGAGCTCGGTACTTTGGGCGTATCGCACAACCCCGAGGTCGACAACAGGAGAAACCCCTTTCAGTTTAGCTTATGAAATGGAAGCGTTGCTGCCGGTCGAGGTCGAGCTATCATCCTAGAGGTCGAGCACATATAATACTGAGCAGAACAAGGATCTAATGATGGCAGCCCTGGATACTATTGAGGAGCTGCTTGGAAGAGCAGCAATCAGGGTGGAGGCGTACAAGAAGAGGATGCGAGCCGCTCATGACAAAAAGGTGAAAACTCGCAGACTCCAAGTAGACGACCTGGTTTGTAAACGCGACGATGTGCTCAAACATGTGGGAAAGCTGGAGCCGAACTGGGAAGGGCCATACCTGGTCGAGCGAGTGCATGCAGGAAGAGCGTACTCGCTGAAGGATGCTGAAGTCCGATCACTTGCCAGGTCATGGAACATAGCTAATTTGAAAAAATATTATGTGTGAAAATTTTTTGCTCTTTTCTTTTAAGAAAGCTGGAAAATTCGAACAAAGATGTAAATTGCAAAGCTTGCTCAAAAGTCAATGAAGTTCAGTGATTCTTCTGATTTTACTCGCTTTATTGCACATTTTCTTATGCTTGGAATGTTGGTATAATTTGGATGACATGATGTATGTGGTGTGGTTTGACTTAGAAGTCACTTGTTTAGAACATGCCTTGGGGTGGGCAGGTTGGTCGAAGACCTCCTGTTTAGAACATTCCTCGTGGGTGGGCAAGTGTGAAGACCAAAACCCACCATGACTAAGGCCCTCGGGCTGGGTGGTGACTTGTTTAGAACATCACTTGGGGTGGGCAGGTTGGTCGAAGACCTCCTGTTTAGAACATTCCTCGTGGGTGGGCAAGTGTGAATACCAAAACCCACCATGACTAAGGCCCTCGGGCTGGGTGGTCACTTGTTTAGAACATCACTTGGGGTCGGCAGGTTGGTCGAAGACCTCCTGTTTAGAACATTTCTCGCGGGTGGGCAATTGTGATGACCAAGACCCACCATGACTAAGGCCCTAGGGCTGGGTGGTCACTTGTTTAGAACATCACTTGGGGTGGGCAGGTTGGTCGAAGACCTCCTGTTTAGAACATTACTCACGGATGGGAAAGTTTGAAGACCAAAACCCACCATGACTAAGGCCCTCGGGCTAGGTGGTCACTTGTTTAGAACATCACTTGGGGTGGGAAGGTTGGTCGAAGACCTCCTGTTTAGAACATTCCTCACAGGTGGGCAAGTGTGAAGACCAAAACCCACCATGACTAAGACCCTCAGGCTGGGTGGTCACTTGTTTAGAACATCACTTGGGGTGGGTAGGTTGGTCTAAGACCTCCTATTTAG